CACATTTTGACGTTTTCTATGGATTTCAGAAAGCAAATTAGCATAACTTCTGTATCAGACACTAGATCACCTTGCCTTCCGAACCCCTCCAGTGGGCATTACGCAGGCCATAGCTGTGGTAAGCTGTGGACACTGTTTTCACCACTTTGGGCAAAACAGACCTGCGAGTTCTTCTGAACAGTACTGGTTGAAAAGGAGGGAGCAGCTCATCTCTACTCTAGCAGGTCTGCACCCACTGAGGCCCTGGCACCCCAATGGCTGCCCAGAGAGTCCATCTAACACTACTTAGAAATAGGATGGGGCAAACTCTAGCCAACGAATGACAGAAACGGGGAAAAGCTAGAAGATAAATTACTAGCCTTCTTGTCCACTTCCCCCAGTGCCAGTACTGAGACGCAGTAGTTTAATACAGCCTCTCTGGAAATATCTACCAATAACGCACCCATTTCTGTTCGCTCTCCCCCTTCCTTTTTGCTCCCCACTTTTGTGTCCTGAGATTGCACCTGGTCTAAACAAGTAATTTTGATACATTTTTCAATGTTCAATATCTTAGGAGATATTTGAAGCATGTTATTAGAAGCACAAACAAAAACAGATTTGTAATGAAAACATTCGTTTATTTGCATTGGCTTATGTTTGGATACTGGAAAGAGTAGTTGCAAAGAATAGTTGCAGTCACTGAAGGAGAATGAAAAGTCAAGAAGAAACGGTGAACGAACAGTCAAGCAACAAGGAAATAGTCATTCTCCTTGTAGAATATCAACAGGAGATAATCAGAAACACATGGTTCTGGCAAGTACAGATGCAGTCCCCAGATAGCAAAGTTTCCATCAAAGGAGCCCATATTAAGGAGATTTTTCTCCCATTGAGCCTGTTTGTAATTAATGTGTTCCTATGTTATGACATATTAAAGTGTTAGATTCCCTCCCAAAAAAAATCTACTGAGTGACATATCTCAATGAAGACAACTAAAATTGTCTTCAGTTTACATATTAAATTAAAATAATTTTAAGAGACAACAAATTACCAGCTAAAATTCAAACAACTAAGAAATGACAAAAAGTATACTTGCTTAGCAAAGCCCCTTGGGGAGTTAAAATGGAAAAAAAGAATAAAAAATTGGCCAGAAAGAGGGAGAGTACTTCCTTGCTATGGAAAGTTGGCATACACTATACCATGATCTCAATCTGCACTGAGAACAGTTTTAGACATTGAACCAGATCCCAGTTGTAAAGATGTAAAGGGCACAGTCAGTCACCCACCTTTAAATATTTGCTACTACAAATATTTAACCCTCTGTTCCTAGGCTGATATAGCACAAAAGGTCTTCTCTTAAAATGACTGAAACCAAAAGACTGGGACATACTCACTGCTCATTCACGAAAGTATGAAAACTATGATTCAAGAAATGCTCTGTGAGTACACTTTGGTTTCTGACTGTGTATTCCTGCAGACTCCACAGCAGTCATTAAATCAGGTTTTCAAATGTCCTCAGGTAGATTCTTTAAGAATTCTTTTTTCCTTTTGTAGATTTATAAATCCAGATGCAACTGCCACTTCCTGGAGGGGCAGTTGGTTTAAAGTTTAAATGTATTACTTTTTAAGCATTTGTCATGTTTCTTAGTATTTCTTTTGGTCTGAATAGCTGAAGGGAATTATGATTTTTCCCAGAGAATTGCACATACACATACACACAACATTTCCCATAAAGTACATAAGCTCGGTAGATACCTCATCCATCCAAATACTTTCTGGAATCCAAAAGCCTCATGTCAAAGCCAGCTGCTTTAAGTAACTTTAAAAATCACTTAAAGATGGATAAACACAAGGAAGGGAAAGCCCCAGTAGCATGCCTATTTTGGTATGCCAATAAAGTAAAAACAAATCCCCAATTTTTTAAAATTTTTATTATTTTTTTAATCAGAGAGGAAGGGAGAGAGAGAACTAGAAACATCAATGATGAGAGAATCATTGATCGGCTCCCTCCAGCACACCCCACACTGGGGATGGAGCCCGCAACCTGGGCATGTGCCCTTGACCGGAATTGAACCCGGGACCCTTCAGTCTGCAGGCTAATGCTCTATCCACTGAGCCAAACCAGCCAGGGCAAACCCCAAATTTTATAGATAGAAACAATGCTTCTACAAAAGGCCTAAAAGCTATATTTCAGGTCTTAAGGAAAATCTAGGTAGTATCTCATCAGTATTCTTTTTATAATCCTCACTTGAGAATATTTTTCCACTGCTTTTTCAGACAGTGGTAGGGAGGAAGGGAGGGATGGAGAGGGAGAGAGGGAGTGGGGACGGAGAGAGAGAGAGAGAGAGAGAGAGAGAGAGAGAAGAGAGAGAAAGAAATATTGATGTGAGAGAGACACATAGACTGGCTGCCTCCCACATGTGCCCCAGTGGGTGGGGGCAGGGAGCAAACTCACAACCCAGGTACATGCCCAGGAATCGAACCTGAGACCTTTTGGTTGAAGGGCCGGTGCTCTAACCAGTTAGTGACACCAGCCAGGCTCTCATCAGTCATAGATTTAAAATATATTTTTATTAATTTCAGAGAGGAAGGGAGAGGGAGAGAGAGAGAGAGAGAGAGAGAGAGAGAGAAACATCAATGATGAGAGATAATCATTGATTGGCTACCTCCTGCATGCCCCCCACTAGGGATTGAGCCTGCAACCCAGGCATGTGCCCTTGACCAGAATTGAACTCAGGACCCTTCAGCCCACAGGCTGACGCTCTATCCATTGAGCCAAACTGGAGAAGGCTAGTTATTTTTAAATAAATTTCATAAGTAGCTGTCTTTGAGAATAATCTATATGTTGACCCCAAAGACATTTCTTTTTTCACTTAAGCTATCTGAAAGAATATTAATAATATTCAAAACTGGGTTATTATTCAATTCTCTTTTGGATCAGATACTATAAGAATAACTAATTTATACCTGATTTAAACTAACTTCTACATGATACATTCTCTCTAACTTCCTTTCTATCTCTACAAAAAATGGCTCTAAACCAATGGCTGGCACAAGTTAAGTTAAAAATAGAGGCATGTGGCAAGTGTTTGGAAATTTACTGTTCATATGTGTGGATTTCTGTACTGTAATTGTGAATTTAGAATCTTGCTTATGATTAAAATATTTAAGACTATCAACAATTTGTAAAAAAAAATCATCATGTGTTTGTCGTATTTTGTGAAGAAAAATTCTAAAGTGAATGTTTTACACAAGCAGCCAAAAAGATCCAAAGTGAAATGAATTTTCCTGGGACAGCCTAGAAATAACAGTTAACATATGCCTAAGCTGCAGACAAAAGCAGGATACATGTAAAATCAAGGAGGGAGTAAAAAGGACTGTAAGTTAATGAATAAAAACCTTTTTGTCCAAAATTCTCAACAAAAATTTTAGGTACTTAAGGAGCAAAACCATCTCAACTATTTTTAAAGAAATTATATTTATTTAATATTAGAACCTAACAAGAAGTGACTTTCAAAGTCACAGTTTATACCCATCATAAATTTGATATACTAAAAAAAAAAAAACACCAAAAAATTACAGGAGTTAAGTTGATGTTAGGATAAGTAAACAAAAATACATAGTCTTCGATTACTTTAGAGTATTTAATAATTGATTCACACTTGCAGCTGCTGTTCATCTAGAAGTGTTTCTAGTTAACTTATTTATCTGCTATTTTTTGCATAACATATTTCTTGGTCAAGATGCTTCTTGACATTATTGATAAAATAAGTCATTCATGTAAAAGTTTTCAAATTTTCTTCGTTCTAACCTAATATTATTTTGTATTTCAATAAGTTCTTAGAGTTGTGCTTTCACAAATTATTATTAGATTTCGAACTTATTTTTATTTAGAGCATCAGCCCTGCAGTAGGAACCGGGTAGATGGACCATGTCAGAATGCTGGCCCAGTGGCCGGCCTGAACATCTTGGAGCGTCATCATCTGGTCTGTAAAATAATGACGCTCATACCTGCCTTACCTAACTCACAGGGTTGAGCCGATACGAAATTCATAAAGAGTTTTTAAAAACAAGATGGTACTGGTACTGGAGGTGTTAGCAATAATGGTAAAAGTACTGTTTGGTATTTAACAAGAAATTCTGCTCCAAACAATAACCGTGATCATAGAATTTACTGCAGAAATAAGACAGTAGTTTACAGATTGCTAATTTATCTTGCTACAATACCTGCTGTAGCATAGAAATCATTGACTTTGTTACTGTGAATTTTGTCTGTGTGTTTTCTTTTATTTTTTTTTAGACTGGACTATTTTAAGTATCATTTCACTGACAGGCATAAAGGGGGTTGGTATATTAAAATAGGAATCTGAGTGTTTTTATGTGTTTTGTGTTTTCTCTAACACTTGACAAGTGAGATTAGTAAAGTTAATTAGCGTAGGATAAGTACAGGATAATCTATGTTTTCCTAATTCTATAAGCAATAAAATGCAGTGTATCAATTCTTTTGAAGAAACCTATTGTCATTTTCTTTTAAATGCTTCAGAAATAAACATTTGCTCTAGAAATGTGTTCACCAACCAAAATTGATTTAACCTATTACGAAATGAAATTTGGGAGTGTCTTTGAGCCTGGCGTGGTCCGGGTGCTCACACTGGCTGCCTTGAGGAAAGAAACACTTAGTGTTTATCACCTTTTAGGGATCTTTATTTATGTTTCTAAACTTTAAATCTTTAGGTCTCTTAGAACCCTAAGGTTTTCAGAAAGCATGCAGATCACTCCTACCTCCTCCAGATTGTCTATTTCATTCAGCTAGAATGAAGTGAACACCTCAGAGAGAAAATTATGGCCAGGACTTTCTGGAAATAAAGAGAAGTTGAAGCAACATGTGTCTCGCTGTCCTAAGGTCACTGTCTGGGCTGGGTGTATCCTGGACCTCTTTCAGACCTCATGGAAGTTAATTTTAGTTTCACAGAAAGGACAGCGAGAGGCAGAAAATGTCAAGGTGAAGCTTATGACCGCCGTACCTTTCTGATTTCCGGGGCATTGCCAGGGAGAAAGAAGCACCGTTCGTCCACAGAGAGTCTTCTCTTGCATCTGCTCGCCTGGGTTTCAGAGGGTGTGTGGGGGGCAGCCCCGGGCACAGTGGCTGCCAGCTTCCTCGTCCCTCGGAGTGTCAGGCTCTGGTAGAAGAGACAGATGGCCACCACCAAGCCCACCAAGAAGGGCCGGGGGCAAAATCGCCGACGACAAAGGAACCCTGGACGACAGACCATGACCAGTTCAGCTGCCCTTGGCCCCTGTCCACGTTGCCGGAAAAGTCATAGCAGCTATCCCTTGTCAGCATGAAGAACACAAATCCGCCTCCTTTTTCCACAGCTTAAGTGAAGATTGCTCCATCCCGCTCAAGAACTTTCCGAAGAATCATGCCAAAGAATTATAGGTCCCAGAAGTCTGAGTCGGTTGCTAAGAGCCCTTCCATGGGTGACAGTAAGAAGTGGGCTGGCCTGGGTTAAATAACAATCATTTTAAGAAGACATCCAAATAGGAATAGTGGTAACTAAGAACCCGAGTGGACCCCAGGCTGCCAAACTGTTGCTTCCGGCAATGCCTTATTTCCACCACCTCCTTCCACTCACAGTGACGACATCACAGGAAAACAGAAGACACCCCCAGGGCCCATCTGGAACCTCCAAACCGCGCTGAAGAGTGCAGTCGCTTAAAACGCAAAGCGCCCGTGGTGCACTGGGGTGGGGGGGGGGAGGGGGGCGCCAGCTCGCCCGAGCAGCTCCCCAGTTTTCCTCCGGCTTTAAAAGCTTCCAAGTTCCCTAACTGCTTCCCTTCATTCCGTTTCAAATCGCCACTTTCCTGGAAGCACTTATGGCTTTTAACATAAAAGCGGAATGAACGGTTTGAATGGACAGGGCTCCTGTTAGGGTTTTTGCCTGTGACTTGATTGCATTGCGTTTCAAGCTCAAAGTTCTGTGTACTTACTCGGTGTTCATCCTTGTGGCCAGAAAAAAGTTTCCACGAGTCCCTAATGGATTGTTGGTCGGAGCCACTCGGAAGGAAACACCCCGTCCTGTGACTCCGATCATCTCGCAGACACGGACACACACGCGCGCGCACACGCGGGGAGCGGGGCGGAGCTAGGCTCCGGGCTCCTCAGGCTCTGGGGCAGCTGGAGCCGCGCTTTCAGCTCTGGATCAGACAAGGTGGGCATCCATAGACTGGGGACATCGGTACTCATGTCCCCGCCACGTGACTGCCTCCGCAGAGCTGCAGCAATTTAAATTCACAAGTGATGTGCCATGCCTTATGTAATTTCTTCTTCCTGATATGATGGTGCAAAACCCAATAGCCCTCCGTCCACTGATGACAGACGTCGAGGATCTTCACTTAGGGAATCATGGTCACTCTTTTGGGGACAAGTGGTCACAACTCCTGTCTGGACCCCAGAACAGCAAGCCTGTTGTATGTACTGAATAACTGAGCTTTCTGCTTAGTACCTAACTCATATCACAGTTGTTATTATGAGTTCTGTCCAGGACGAATGCCCGACTCCTCCAAAGGCTAATTGCTGACACGTCTTACAAGGAGTTGATGGGAGCGGGTATTGGGTAACTTTTGCTCTGTAGGAAGTGGTACACAGCAGGCTTTGTCCATATTCAACTCCATCTACTGCTGCTCGACAGACCGCCCCAAGGGTACTCCGGGTCAGGCAATTCTGCAGACTCCATCCACGTTTGCTGAATCAGCCGAGGGGACTGCAAGGAGAAAAGCAATCTGTCTTGTGCATGGTGCTCACCTCTCCCTGCCCTCGCTTTTCGAAACCTGCCGGTTTAGGTTCATAGCAGACATTCTCCAAAGGCTCTGAATCTAAATAGCTGTTGTAGCCTGTTTCTAACTCCAAGTCATTCTTGGGGCTGAGGTTCTCCTGTGAGGCCACACCCCCAGAGTGATTCCATGCTTTAGGCACGGTCCTGTCAGTCACTTGGATTTTGTGATACGGAGCGCCCCCTAGGGGTGCCCAGCTACTATAGAATGGACATCTACAGATAGGACCTAACTATGTTAACACCCTTATAAAACAGATTAAAGTCTTAGAGAATACAGATTCACACTAAATCTAGACTTATTCCAAGTCCTTGCGTATATTTCCTCCAGTGTGTTTAATATTAATTTATAGAACCAGAGTCGTCAGTCCCATGACAAGTGAAGGAATAGAGAAAAATGAAATGACACTTGACTTTAGGAAGCCAAAAGGTTTTGTAGAAGAAATGGCTAAATGTGGAGGGCAGCTACAGTGTTTCGACAGGTTCAAGCCTCAGACTAATGAGAGGGCACAGTCCTCTCATTGCCACGTGCAAGTCCCAGCTTGGAGGGCAGAGCCCTCCCAGCACAATTATAGCCAACAGCTGTAGTTGTAAGCTTGAACCTATGGTCCGAACAGGTGGCCCCACGTGCCTGAGTGATGTGGGCTTGATATAGTTCAGGTGGGTGTAGTTGAGTAGGATCGAAACCCATGAGAATGTTGTAAACATCTTGACCACACCCTTACTTTGTCTCGTGGCATCTGCTATAAAATAAAGACATGGCTTGTAGTCCATGGCACTGTCTCTCCATCCGGGAGCAGCATCCCACCCAGACCCACCTTTTATTCTCTTGTCTGTCTTTTCTCCACCCTTCACCACCCCCCTCAGGGTCACTGAACCTGGCTGAGCTGGCATAGCACATAAGGCGCCCTGGGGCTGAGTATGCCATGGCCGTGCTGGCTCACCACAGCTAAACAATGTGTTTTGGGAGATCTAGTTTAGGTGGATGCAATGTGATTTGAGACTTCATAGGAATTGCGAGTCTCTAAGCTGGAATCGTTCTGTGTTGATGAGATCCAGGGTGTGACAAAGTTATTTACTAGGTGAAAGGAATGGACCTGCAGTTCTATTAAGTTAAAAAGTCTGAAAAACCAAGAATTTGAAGAATATAAAGGGTCATTCGTATGCATTGTTAAATTGTTGAGTACAGGATACAAAAGAGAGCATAAAGCAGATACTAAAATTATATTGCTGTTTGGACTAGGAGAAGTGAAAAATAGTAGCATAGATAATTTTGGAGCTAGACTTCAGATAATAGAAGTTAAAAAGAAGGTGGGAAATTAGTGTTCTAGAAACTGGCAGATTGAAAAACCCAATTTCTGAGGGAGAAGATAGTAGACAAAGGGATGTCTGCAAAAGATAGAAAAGGGTTAGAGTGGGACGGTGGAAAGAAGAGGTGGAAAGAAGTTACAGCAAAAATTAGAACCAAGCTGAGTATGCCATGGCCGTGCTGGCTCACCACAGCTAAACAATGTGTTTTGGGAGATCTAGTTTAGGTGGATGCAATGTGATTTGAGACTTCATAGGAATTGCGAGTCTCTAAGCTGGAATCGTTCTGTGTTGATGAGATCCAGGGTGTGACAAAGTTATTTACTAGGTGAAAGGAATGGACCTGCAGTTCTATTAAGTTAAAAAGTCTGAAAAACCAAGGATTTGAAGAATATAAAGGGTCATTCGTATGCATTGTTAAATTGTTGAGTACAGGATACAAAAGAGCATAAAGCGGATACTAAAATCATATTGCTGTTTGGACTAGGAGAAGTGAAAAATAGCAGCATAGATAATTTTGGAGCTAGACTTCAGATAACAGGAGTTAGAAGAAGGTGGGAAATTAGTGTTCTAGAAACAATGCCGGCAGATTGAAAAACCAATTTCCTATTTACCAATAGTCTGAGGGAGAAGATAGTAGACAAAGGGATGTCTGCAAAAGATAGAAAAGGGTTAGAGTGGGACGGTGGAAAGAAGAGGTGGAAAGAAGTTACAGCAAAAATTAGAACCAAACTAAGGGAATCCATTAAATAGCATTTGATATTAAAGTTAACCCAACCTGGATATGGATCATGTTGTTCTTTATCAATTGTTTTCAAGCTTGTGATTTATGAAATGAGGATACTCATGCCTCCTTTGAAGTGTTATTGGCATAACTAGATGAAATAATGTATGAAAATCACCTAAGCACTTGTACATTTGTTGGAAGAACACAGCATGCTGAATGCATGTCTGCGATGTCTGGGATCCTGAGCCTGAGCTCAGTCTTGTTTGTGTGTGTCAAACACAAGAACAGATAATCCTATATAATAAAAGTCTAATATGCAAATTGTCCCTCAGGCGGTCTTTCCACCCGGAGTTCGACCTGGAGACTGGGAGTTCAACCACTCGCTATGATGTGTGCTGACCACCAGGGGGCGGTGTGGAACATGGCGGGCACTGGCAACAGGCGGCAGTGGAGGCGCTGCTAGCCCTGATGGGCCCAGAGGAGAGCGGGACTGCGGCGGGATGGTAGAGCAGGTGCGTGGGTGGTGCCAGGACAAGGCGGGTGTGAGCAGGGGCCGATTGCCCCACCAATCACCCCACAGATGGAGACCAGCAGCTGGCAGGCCCTGATAGCCTGATCGGGGCCGGGCCCCAGGCTGGGATGGGAAACTGGGGATGGGTGGTGGCGACCAACCTCCCATGGTGCCCAGGCGGGGGGCTGCGACCTCTCACTGGCTACCTGGGGGCGGGGGTGATAGGGATGGAGGTGCAGTGAGAATGCGGGATGTCCTCTGAGCTCGCTCTCACTCCCCCTGCTACCCTCCCCCGGGACGTCAAGGCTCTTGTGCTGGAGAAGCTCCCATGCTCAGGTGCCAGGTGCCTGCGAGGAGCCCGCCCTGCACCCATGGGTCCTCTTCCGGGTGAGCTGGGCACAGCTGCCAGGAACACAGGGCCAGTCGGGCTCCCTGTGGGTTCACACAGGAGCCAGTTTGTGAAGCTGGCTGAGGGAGAGCGTGCTGCCCACCCGGCTTCCGTGCGGTGCTGCTGGGTGGTCCAGAGGCCCACGCTGTGCCCTGGCCCGCAGTGTCCGGCCGTGCTCATCACATCTCCACATGGGGACTCGGGCACCGTGACTCAAGCAGAGAGGGGCGCATGGGGGCCTGGGGGCTGAGGTGCTGCCCAGGGCCCAGAGGTCAGCTGGGACCTGCTCTTCCATGCCAGACACTCACACTTTGATTGCCGGCCAAGCCTAGGGACCACACCTGTGCATGAATTTGTGCACCAGGCCTCTAGTGATCAATATGTTGGGCTTCTTGGAACACAGAAGCAACAAAAGCAAACATGAGCAGTGTTAGATCTCTTCCCTTTACTTTGTGAGATGGAGATGGGTGGCAGATGCACGTTTCGAAGAGTAAGAACGAGGGTGGAGTGGGAGTAGTTTGTACATAGAGACTGCAAGTGCGAGGGATTTCTGCCTGAGTGGTAATGGCAGCATGAAGGTGACAGAACAGGGAAGAATGAAGATAGAATAAGTGGTTCAGTGTGGGGAGTGGGAGGATAAATACACAGTAGAAGTACGAACCCATGGTTTCTGGCAGAGAATCAGAGTGAATGCTTTTGTGCATATGGTTTCACGAAGTAACCCATCCACTAAACCATTTTGGCGTCCAAGAGATGGTATGTTAGCAGCATTAACCTGGGACAATAGAGTGACAGAACTCTCCAACACAAAATATGCTCTTCTATCACACATGTTTCAATTTAGCTTTTGGTATGGAGTGGGGATGGAGGGAGAGGATACGTTTAATAATCGTTGTTTGAAGAAGATATTTTCAAATTTTTATTTTATGATTTAAAGTAGAGTAATAAAAATGTCCATAACAGAGAAGATTCCAGTGTGGGATCAGGAACTTTGGGAAAGTAATTTACCCCTTTGAGTATCAGCTTCCTCATAAAATGCCTCCTCTTTGAGTATCGGCTTCAGCAATCACTAGATCTCAGAGGTCACCAGAGGCTGGGAGGAAGGTGAAATCTTCAGATTCTGGGCCCTCTTGGTTTCCTACAGGGAAAAGCTTTTCTCTTTCTTCTTTTTTTAAAAATGTTATTTTTATTGATTTCAGAGAGGAATGGAGAGGGAG